GAAATCTGTTAGTTTTAATAAAATATCAACACCTGCAACATACAAGTTGAAGCGCAGGCAGTATAGTAGTTTCAGCTGTCTGGATATGATTAAGCGAGAATGATTATAACATATGTGCACATCTCTGCTGCTCTTCAGTGTGAGCTAATGTTTCTGTTTTTCAGGTAGGGAAATATCCTCTCAGCTTGCGCTGTGCTGAAAGCTTCAGATGAATCCCCCTCGTTTATTCTGCTGATGCTGCAGGTATACGAGAGCCAGGAATTTAATATGCGGCTGTGGGAGAGAAGAGCTAGGATGCTGGAGAGGATCAATAATTGAAAGGTCACACAGAGTGGCTGAACTGCTATATGTGAGCTATAAGAGGAGCACATTGTGTGTGGTTGTGTGTGTGTGTGGTTTCTTGCTGCATGCAGCATGGTGACACAGATAAAATTTGATCATGTGATACTGAAGACTTGAGTAGTGATGATGAAAATTCAGTATAACCATGGCAGAAATAAAATGTATTCAAATAGAAATCTGGTATCTTAAATTGTAATTGTATTTTACAATAATTCTGTTTTTATTGTATTTTTTATCAAATAAATGCAAAGTTGGTGAGCATAAGTCGCTTCTTTCAAAAATATTAAAACATCTTACCAACCCCAAACAGTGTTTGGGTATTTTTGTACATTTTCATTTTGTTTATTTTCTAACCATTTCTGTTTGGTTATCATTTCCTCAATGCGATCACTTTCTCAAACTAGTCTCACTATTTTCAGCTCTCCACACAAGTTGTAGTGTTATTCATTGTATTCTTCCTCTCCAAAGCAACATGTTTTCACCAAAACCTATGAAAGACTACATGAAAGAAGAAACCAGTCTTTTGCATCACTGAAGCTTTTTAACAGAGCCAAATCTTTCACTTGCAGCTGATATATATAGAGGCTGAGCATCTCACCTGATTATACTGTGACCATCTTTACTGATAAAACTCTGGATAAATCTTACTTCAGTCATATTATGATCTCTGTTCGCCATCAGGGGATAAGCCACATATTGTTTCCACAGGAAACTGTAACAAATCCATCCACCCCCAAGTATGGCTGCAATATGACAGAGGTATATCCACAGCTTCCTGTGTCTGTGCAGCAGGTTTTCTCATATATTTATTTTCAATTTTTTATAACCGAGGAAATCTTGGTCATTTGTACAGTTTTTATTCAGCTTGCAAGGGACCTTGCTTCAAATTCTAAATATATATTTTTTTAAATTGCATCTGAGCTTTTTCATTTTCGTGGTATGGAAAAGAGAAGCTTTGATATTTTGATCATTTTATTTTTCCATGGGTGACAGAATTTTCAAATGACCAAATTTAAATGTGAATGGATTCTACCACAGCATTTCAAACCAACACTATTTTAACCTACAACGGTTGCGCTTGAACTCAATTATCAATATTTACTTTTGTTTTTGGAAGCAGCATTAAAATCCACTTTTGAATTTAAGTCTGTAAGTGTGTAGTTCTCAGCATAGGTTCTGATACTGTTCTGAGTGTCATAGTTGCCGTGACCCTTGCAGAGTTACAGTTGCAGTAATGGGCTCTAACCTGTTAAGACCTAACCTCGGTGTCTCTTGAGATGGTTGTCTGCAGGTGAATGATGGGGTTTGTGTGTGTGTGTGAGTATGTGATGGTGGAGGCCCTGTCCCTGATAGCTCTGAGGCAGATGTGCATGAAGGGGGCTTTTACTTCAAGGCCATGATGCATCAGCATATCACTTTTGTAGAGGTCAGAGATCACTGTCTGTTCAACTCAATTGTCAGTCCTCTTCATAAGCATACTGCACTCATCAAATGCTTCTCACATAGGGAAATTCCCACCTGCAGTCTGCACAAAACTAATAAAATTAGATATGAGGACTACAAGGAATTTGACTGTTCTGATTCAGATTCCTATTCCTCTCAATGTTTACAGTTATTTATTTGTTGTATTAATTAAAAAGAACGGTCTCATGAGAGTTATTATCGGACTTCACTGATTCCCAATTGCGTGGATTCTTTTTGCTTGAATTTCACGTTTCACGAACAACAGTAAATTTGATCACAACTTCAAAGTCATTTGAGAATCTTAACTTTGCTGGCCATGCTGTGTTTTGCGCCGAATTGCAGTATTTCAGTACTGTGTTCTGTCCGCAAGTGTTGAAAATGCATGTGCGAGAACCATTAAAGGAACACAACATCATGGAATCATCCAATATTTTTGAAAGGTTCTCAGTTCCCAACCCTAAATTAGATTCATGTGAAGCATTCGGATTTCAAGACAAAGCTGCTAGCCACCTTATTTTGAATGTAGTGAAGAAATTCATGTTAAGTTGTTATTCAAAGTCTCATGATGATAATATAATTTTCAATCAAATTCTATTTGAAAAGAATGCAAAATATAGTTATGTTTAATTACAAGATATTAGGGCAGGTCTAATGTAGGTCATATTCCAGTTAGTCTTTTCTCCAGGGGAAGCACTCTTTTTTTCCTTCCAGATTTAAGCACCAGACACTGAGCTTCGTCCTAATAAGTCCTTGTGGTTTTAAAGAATACAGCTCCTGTCTTCAGTTCTGTTTGACTCTGACGCACTCTGTCTTGTCTCTGAGGACACCTTTGCCAGGCAACAGATGAAAATGTTCTCCACAGCAGAGCAGCAACACCTCAGAAGAGAAAATCTCAATAAATGACAGGCCTCTGACAGCTGTGTCTCACACAGTTTGCAAGTGTGTGACATGTTTGTACAAGAAGGTCTCTTCAGCTGCTTGAAATGCTTTGAAATGCTAATCTAAAATATGATATCGGCCTATCATTTGAGCACAAGAGTATAAATCAGCAATCAATTGCAGCTAGGCTATATATACAGTTTTGATCTCTGTTGTCTCCTTTCTCAATGCCAGGGAAGCTTCCTGAAAAAGAAGATGCATCCTAAGGTTCATGCTCATGATAGTTCACCCAAAAAATGTAAATTCTGTCATCATTTATTCACCTTCATGCTGACTCAAAACCATATGACATTTTTTTTCTATGGAACACATACGGAGATGTTTTAAAGACTGCGCTAGTCACTATTTTCCATACAATCACAAGCACCTTATACGTATCATAAAATTGGTCCATATGATTACATATTTTATGAATAAGTATTTTGATAGCTTTATGGGAGAAACTGACCATGTCATCTTCATCTCGAGCCCAGCTAATGGGGAACGTTCTCATAATTTTGGTTGACGTTCTGGCAAGGGTCTATCAAACTTATAAATAAATGTTCATCCAGTAACCTTAAATAAATGTTAATTCAAAGTTATCTGGTCTTTAATAATGTTCTCAAAATGTTATTACAAAAACGTTATTTATTGATCATTCATAGAATTTTTTTGAATACTTGTTTCAGAATGTTCAGAGAGCATTCGACGGTCACATAACATTCCCATTATGTTGGCAAAATTATAAAATGGAATGTTCAATTAACATTTGTATAACAAAAAAAGTTAGTTTTTTTAAATTGACATTTTTAATGTTCAGAGAACTTCAGAAATAAAATATGTAAGCAAGATGTTCTTAGAACATTTTTATTTATTTTTTTAGCTGGGGGTGAGCTGTTAACTAATGCAAACGAATCATTGAGTTCTTTTAATCATCGAGTCAAGGATAAACTTGATCAAGTTTTGACTGATCCAATAAACCTCAATTTCGGACTGTGAACGAATTATTTAGACCAGTATAATGAACTACATCAATCAATTCAATGGCAAGTTCTGACTAAAAAGAATGATTAGTTTACAAACCGGACATTGCTATTAGTGACAGAAATGTCTTATTTTGACAGAAGTTTCATTTTTGAATGATCTGTTCCTTTAAGGAGACAGGGGCTTGATAGGTAAATGACCTTGAGCAGTAGTACAGAAAGCTGATTTGCATTTGGTGTGAAGATTGGAATGAATGAATCATAATACTGATGCTTTGAATACCCTCCGTTCAATATGCATGAAATAGACTTGAGGCAAAGCTAATAGGATGATCCTCCACAATCTATGGACTCATTTTAAGAACCAACATCTTATCACAAATTATCATAGATTTCCTTTGGATTAAAGATTCATACTGTTAGTAAAACTATAGAATAGAAAAGAACAGAATGTCACATTACAGCTAAAATATAAAGATGGAATCAGGAGGTTATTGTCAGACTTTAGCGGTTTGAACAGTTGTCTGCCCCCGTTATATGACTGAATAAGTGCATCAATCTTTTTTAACGTGTCATTTGAGATGTCTCACTCCAGTTCTTCCTCTCTCTTTTGTTCGCGCCTCTCACAGTACCACACACAAGAGCCAGAGAGCTGAAAGCCTATTATCTACGAACACTTTCTGCGGGGTACTGTTATCTGTTTTCATGTCTCAAAGCTAGTTAAAGACACCAACAAGAGTGTTTCTCATCTTTTGTGGATTCAAAATCAGGGCAGATTCAAGAACAAACAAATTCTCACGCTGGATTTCAAAAACAAAGAAAGTCTATGGCTTACAAAGAGTTAGGGAGGAAAATTGGGCCTATATTATAATCCAAAGAGAATCACTGCACAAAGGAGAATTAGAAACAGCACAAAGGATGAGAGTGCACAATATATCACTGACAAAACTAATAATGCATTCAGAGCCAAAGTTTCCTGTGTCCAAAGAGAAGAAATAACTATTTCCAATTAGACCAATGGAACTTAACGTCTAAAGAGATTCAACTTTCATGAAGAAGCAAGATTTACCCGATATATTTACATTTAGAAATAATTCCATGTATACATTACCATTCAAATGTTTGGGTTAGTAAGATTTTTGTAATGTTTTTGAAAGAAGTTTTTTATGCTCATCAAGGCAGCATTTATTAAAAAAAAAAATACATTGAAAACAGTAATATTGTGAAATATTATTAGAATTTGAAAACAGTTGTATATATATGTTAAAATGTAATTTATTTCTGTGATGGCAAAGTTGAATTTTCAGCCGCCATTACTCCAGTCTTCAGTGTCACATGATTCTTCAGAAGTCATTTTAATATGATGATTTGATGCTTAAGAAACATTTTATATTATTATCAATGTTGAAAACAGTAGTGCTGCTTCATATTTTTGTGGAAACTGTTATACATTTTGCATCCTTGTTGAATAAACATATTAATTTCTGTCAGAAAAAAAGATCTTACTGACCCCAAACTTTTACCAGGTACAGTGTATGCTGTACATGAAACCATATAGATTTATACATAAACATATATTTCATATTATATTCATATTTCATAAGTCAACATGAATTGCTGTTCATATGTGAAACAGGATATTCAATGAGACAGGACTTGATTTTATTGAGAATTGATTGGACAATGAAAAGTGGGCGTTACATGCCAGAATGAGTCAGGTGGTTGGAGGGGAGGGGTAAAAAATAAGAGAGATTTATGACGTCAGTCCTATAGGAAAGTCTTTTCTGTGTGCATTTAATAAAAGATTCAAAAGTTGAAAATATTTTCTTTGGAACAATCTGCGATGAATCATGCAAAAATAAGGCTTGCAATTGTGGTAATATATAGGCTAATTCTGTACACTCTTAAAAATAAAGGTGCTTCAAAAGGTTCTTCAAGCGATGCCATAGAAGAACCATTTTTGGTTCCACAAAGAGCCATTCAGTCAAAGGTTCTTTAAAGAACCATCTCTTTCTTACCTTTTTATAATCTGAAGAACCTTCTTTCGCCACAAAGAACCCTTTGTGAAACAGAAAGGTTCTTCAGATGTTAAAGGTTCTTTATGGAACCATTTAGACAAAAAGGTTCTTCTATGGCATCGTGAAGCACCTTTATTTTTAAGAGTGTAGGTAAAAATGGCCTTACCATCAACTATAGGTTAATATGTGTTGTAGGACATTCACCAGGCTTTTCATGCACTGGTAGGCAGAAACTGTGGCCTTTCATAAAGATTGAAAGAGACAGAGAGAGTGAGGAATTGGCTGGACATACAAGGACTGAAATATTGTCATTGTCAAACCAAAGAGATGACAAGTAGCATTACATTTGAGATTTAAGAAGACTTGAGGTTTTCTCCACAGGTCTTTATGGGTTTTTTTTTTTTTTTTACCCAGTGTACAAGAAATATAGAAGTGCTGTATATGGTGCTGTCAGTTATCATCCCGATGTAAACATCAACTGAATGCAACTCTCTTTTTATTTCTTATTCAGTTTATTTATCTCACCAGAGCGAGACTGGACAATATCCAAAGGTCACTTCAAATAAGACAACTGCTCTCTATGTTCTAATCACTTTACATCAGTCGTCTTATGCATTTTGACTTATCTAACGTTATTGTGTTAGCATAAAATTGTGCATACCTGTATTTCAACTAACACACACTTGCATAAAAAAACATGCTTTTTTTTTTTTTTTTTTTACCAACGTCCTCCATCACAAAAGAGCTCAGATCACCATGACTGCCTATTCTGCAGTCTGTTACTATTGGAAACATAAAAAAAAGATAGAGGCTGAAGCTTGGTATAAAAGAAGAACAGTGGCGTATCATCACTTTTCTGAAGTGATAAACTCTAGTCCTAAATCCCATTGTCTCAGAAGGGAAGGCTTAACATGAGGAGATAGAGATTTCAAGTTCTCTCTGGCTTTGAGGCAGGGATGCTGAATCAAGTTGGGAGAATTGAATGATTTCAGTCTGAGTATGGTGTCTTTGATGTTTTTTGATGTCTTGAGATGTTTTTTTGAGATGTGCTGTGATTCCTTGTACTCTCATGTGTGATGACTCACTGATGAAATGGCAGAGAAAGATGAAAAACGTATCAGCATGTAATCACAGCCACAGGTGGGCTCAACAGGCAAACACAGCTCCAAATATCAGGGAAAAATTCCCATTATTTCACTAGAACATCAGACATTTGTGTTGAATTTGTATAAAAGAGACTTTCAATTTTGCATACCTGTTATTTTGTGTGTATGTCTCATTTGAGGGAATCTCAGTCTGCAGAATGATTTGTGTTTTCATTGCTAATTTTGGGGGTGAATATGTGGAATGCATAATCAAGTTAGCTAAAATATATAGTAATCAAACACTGAACAGATTATTTGCGGGCCTGACGATGACTCATGCTAATCAATGTCTTTCATTTTCTTTTTATGACATCAATTGCAGTGCTTTCTCTCACAGAATGTGTTTCGGGAAGTATGAGCTGTCAAGCCCTGTGCCCTTTGTTCCCTGTTTTATTTTGCATTGATGAACGTGAAATTACCTTACTTGATTCTAAAGAATGCAGAAACGCTTATATTATTTGCATCTCTCTCTCTCTCTCTCTCTCCATAAAGCTTAGTCTCTTATGGTGAACAAATTCAATAAATACATGTGTGTGTGTATATCCTATAGGGGTGGTTGGATTAATTTACCATAAGAGATCAACTAAAGCTTTAATTTTAATGTTCCCACAGAGTATGGGGCAAAATTAAGAACATTTTTAGTTTTATTTAGAAATTAAATAAGTAAAGATTAGCATTGCAGTCAGTATGAAATGGGGGATGCTGTGTGTATCCTGAAATGCTCATAAATCAAAAATATCAATAGAAGACTGGTGGGCCACTGCCATTTAGACACCCACAGTGAACATAATATCATAAAAAATAATAACTATAATAAGAAGGTTGGTAGTTCTAAAATATAAAGACGTAATGACACAGTTAGCCAACAGCTTCTGAAAGGAAACGCCAATAACCATAACTTCCTCAAAGATGTCTGACCTCTCACCTTTCATTTGTGAAAATGCATCTCCAGACCTGTACTTTTCCATCCCCCACCTTCTGCCTTTACTTTTCCACCCCATGATTTTCTCTGTGTGCTGAGATTTAATGTTCTTTTAAAATGTCCTTCAAAATAAATCAAAAAGCAACTAAAAACATCTAATCATATGCTGTTGCTGAAAACATCTTCAATATGCAGTCAAATTGAACACATTTCTAATTTGTATACAGAAATGAGCTGAATAAAAAAAACAACAACATGCTGTATCTCGGCCTTGGAGAGGAAAAACCTTCACTTGACTTGTAGCAAAGATTTCAACAAACTGGATGAAATTCAGCTTTTGTCAGCTGCTTTGAGCTTTAAAGGTGATATTTTACATCATGCTCTATTCTTCTAAATCTTGTAATGTCTTCTGAATGGCACATTCAACAAAATCTATTCAGCCAAGTAAGCTAGCTGGATCATTCCTGTTATACAGTAGTACTCACAATTTTTAAAGATGAACATCATATTAGTAAGCTTTCTTTTATCACATCATCAGAATATGTCAGCATGGGGGTGAATAAATCATTTTACTATACCAACAAAAGCCAGGTCCTAATGCTGCCTTTACATGATTGTCAGAAAATACTAGTTGTAATTGTAGATTTTTGGGTACAAGGCTAAAGGAAACTACAGGTGCATCTCAATAAATTAGAATGTCATGGAAAAGTTCATTTATTTCAGTAATTCAACTCAAATTGTGAAACTCGTGTATTAAATAATCTCAAGTGCAGCCATTTGGCCAATTTATGATAATCCTGATAGGAAGGCTGCATCAGTCAACCAACAGGAAGTTACATCGTTTTTATGGGTAAAAAAACACCACAAACATGAGCAAGTATTATGGATTTGATTAATTTTGTGCTGTTTTGTGGTATGAGTTTGTTTGTCTTCACTATGATAATATTAAAATGTCAAAAGGTGGATAGAAAATACCAAAGCTGACACCCTCTTACAAGCTAACACAATCGTTGACGCTAAACTCTAATAATCACGGTGGATTAAGCAGTAAAGGATTGGAGATCACACTGTTTTACACACCGCATCTTTTCAATCCATACCCTCTTTCTGAGGTTGACTAACTATGCAAAGAGAAAAGCGGGCGGCCCGCACTCCCACAGTAACAGTCCTGACGTCAGCCCGTCACCGCTCCCGTTGGATGCAGCGGACCAACTGGACTGGAGTGTGGAGCACTAATAAGCAACTAATATATACATATTTATATTTATCTATATTTTATAGAAAAAAAAAATAAAATTAAACAAAAAGAAAACCAAAACACACACATTCCTAAATTCTCCTGATTAATCCTATTTCTTTAATGTATTTAACAATATTAACAATAGTTTTACCTTGTTCTGCATGCTCTTTCAAGAGGTTTGACAAATTAAATGATTCAACACCCACAACACCCATTTCCTTAATGAGTTTTAACCTTTCTTTTTCATATTTTTTACATTTTATTAAAACGTGCTCTATTGTTTCTGCCTGATTACAAAAAAATACATTGACCTGTTTCATGTTTTCCTATATTAAACAGAGAGTAATTTAATCTAGTATGCCCTATTCGGATGCGAGAAATAATTGTATCTTCTTTCCTATTCCTAAAAACACTTCTTCCATTTCCTACTTGCTGCTGAATATTATACATTTGTCTGCCCTTGCTATCACAGTTCCATACTTCTTGCCATTTTTGGTTTATGAATTCTTTAATTTTCCCTTTAACCTCATTTTTGCAAAAAGTCACTTGAATATCTATTTCCGAGTGTTTAAGAGCTTGCTTAGCAAGCTTATCAACCACTTCATTAGCCTCCACTCCCACATGAGCGGGAACCCACAAAAATGTTATTAAGCTTA